CTCCATACTGCTGTCTTTCAGCCACACCCCTGATCTTCTGGTAGGAAAGATCAACACCTAACCTTCTAGGACAAGGGCGAAAAATCTCGGAGGTCCAGTATGCAAGTTAAGATCCCTTGGTGGTCTAAAATTGATAGGCTTAGGCTGCCACCCGGGCAAAATTCAAAATTTCCTACCACCTGAAAATATTTAATGTGTCCAATGCGCTCAAATGACCTAATGCAGTTGTGAGCGCTGTAAAACACTTACTTGTAAAAAAAAGGGGGGGGGTCAGATTTCACCCATACGTGATCTTGATCATCTGCATTACTCAGGGCTCACTTGGGTGGTGTAACAGTTATCCTCAAACCGCACCCCTTCCTGCTACCTTTACATGGCAGTGTGGTGTTAATAAGGTCAGAGTTTCTGGAACCGAAATTGGGAGTGTTTTGTTTAAAAAAAGGTTTAGTAGGCAAAACATATGCTGTCTACGGCAGGTCAAAACCCTTAGAGTGGTTTCCATCATCGACAGATATTTAGAAGAATTTATCAAGGGGGAGTACGGAGATCCTGTCTTGACAGGTTTCTGTCTCATATAGATTTCTATGGCAGGTTCGACTGCACTAAAACTACCAGTTATTGAATCTTGTCAGGCTGGATTGTCTCTTATGCTCTTGTAATGATCCTAATAATGCTATAATAGAGATACAAGATGAGCACTTTGACCACTCGAGCCACTACCATGAAGAATCGTCGGTTTGGAAGCACCAGAAGGCAAGGCTTGATGATAAATAGCATTTGTATAGCTCAAATCCCTGCTCAACAGCAAGCTCTACAATCTATACTATTACTCCAGTAGACATGAGAGCATTCTGAAACAACCTCAATTTTCTGGGCAGCATACAGTGCAAGCTGCCACATAGGTGCTATGTGTTTTCAGCTGCTTTGTGCTAGTTTTCAGTCCTTGGGGTCATTTTTTCTGTAAATTATACTTTTTCATATATGTAGGTCAGGGCTACTCGACCTACTTTTTTTGTATTACATAATTGCCTCCTGCTCAAAATTTTTACGTAATCAGAATCCCCACATTTTAAGCTTTAAAATGATGTATGACACTCATATGTAGATTAGATATGAAAATTCCAGAAAATGGGCCTCTCAGACTAGAAGCTGAGAGACCCTGTCTGTTTTCCGCCTAAAACACTAACATACTGACAAGATCTTTCACTGTCTATAGCTGGGTACCCATTCCCACGTGGAAGAAGTGAGATTAATGCTGTGACCGAAGGGCACAGACTCTTATTATTATTATTATGATTTTTTAAATTATTATAGTGAATTACTATACAGTGCTGTCTTTTCACTTTCAATTTTAGTTACATCTGACATATATATATATGTATAGTCTCCATAGAGATGTGAAAGTCTTGGACTGTCTTCAGATGGATTTTCATGATTTGAAAATCAAATCTATACGAATTAAGAAAAATTCTGTTTTGTGAACTTTAGGTAGAGATGTAGCAGAGATGTCTTCGTAGCTAAGCTGATCCTGGTTTGTGCTGTGTCGAAAATCCATCTGAAGACATTCCTAGACTTTCATATGGAGATTATACACATAATAACTAATGTAGCAAGACAAGTCTTATTCTTATAGACAAACATTTAATTGATTATGTCTGAAAGTTTCAGACCTCCTTGACATACTGCTGAAAGATAATGAATGATGAAAGAGTGATATCTGCGGTTGTGAGGAATGTTACACAAAGAAAAACAAACTAGCAATGAAAACAAATTCAGGTCAAATTGACAGGATTGTTACAGGTAAACACGATTGAAGAGGTTAAACTCCATACTGTAGTGATTCTTTTCTTGATTGATTGACTGATCTCATCAGATCAGTAAAAATGAATCTGAAGAGCTGCTGGTCAGAGTTTTAATTTTTTTCATTTTTTCTCTCATTAGGCTCAACTACAGAGTCCAATTCAGACTTGTGTGAAATTTGGAAGGCATGTTGATAAAAAAAAATCAAAACAGTGTATCAGTCACTCAAATAATTAGATTGATTTGGGGCATGATAGTTTTTTAAATTGTTTTTTGGATTTTGAGATTTGTTTGAGGAGAGGTGTGCAGTTGGTGAACTTTGGGAACAGGAAACCCCCCTCCCTTTCTGAATTTTGGTCAGAAACCCACAAATTAGCATGCTTAAGATTTCTTAACTTCTCTTTATGTTGCGAAGATTTCAACAGTTCTGATGTCACGTAGCTCCATAGTAACAGTAGCGACAATGTCTGATGTGATCTGAGGATTGTTTGGTTGGTTGTTTTGCTGTTTGCGTTCACCACATTATGCTCAATTTGAAAATTTTTGTCCCTTATTTCTTATTTCAGGCAATTGACAAGGTGTCCAATGGTGACTTAGAATACGATCAAGTCATCACAGGCCTATGGCTTGTGACGGCTCATTTCACAGAACAGTTGGCTAAACTGAAACCTGTACCGGCACTTACCGAGCTGAGTTTCAAGTTGTTCAGGTGAGCATGATTTGTTGACTGGTTTTTAGGTTCTTAAAGTCTGTTTCTGTTTTAGCTATTGTTGAAATTTAGTAAAGAGGAGTCATTTTTGTTTGAATTGGAGTCAATTTCTTTTTTCTTATTCATTAAAGTGTAATAAAAATTGTTGATTAAATGACTATATATTGGTTATGTCCCCTATAGTTAGAATTGTAACTTGATGTATTTTTTCATTAAATATGTAGTGGAATCATATTATAGATTTGGCCCTGTTATTGTCATGATTTTAAGCCTGCATGTATTAATTTGAATCCCCTTTTACTCAACAGACAATGTGCCAAAGCCGTGCTGAACATTCAGTTTCAGAACCTGGAGGAGGAGGATGGAGTACGGAGCAACTTTCTGGTTTCTTTGGCTGCTTTGCATACCAGATTGGCTCCTTTCCACTTCACGAAGTTCCGGTTACTTGAAATACTCACTGAAAATCCATGGACTGATCCCACCTTGGCGAAAGTTATGGGAGGAGAGATAGAGGAGGATGAAAAGGAAGAAGGTGATTTACTTTTTCCATAAAAGTTATTATGCTGTAATGTTCGTAATTAATAAATTTGTTGAAAGCTGTAATAGCAGTTCTCTCGTAGACTTTGGTTTTCACCCCGATATCTTGTCAGTTGTGTTTTTTGATATTGTTGTGTATCATGTGTATGTGTAGACAGTGAAATAAACAGCAAATTTTCTCAACTTGATAATGGATATGGATGGATCAGACCTGGCAAAAGCCCTGGTAAGATACGATTTCTGAGAGGTTTTTTTGTCTGCCTTCTAAGACCATGTCTGATGATAATCTTTGGGTGTGTCCGGGGATATCTACAATTTCAAGACCCTGTTGTACGGCTTGTGATTAAACAAAGAAGTACCACAAGATTTCCTCTTTTTTTTAGCTGCTGGTGTCATCACTGGTGAAGGATGTGGAAAGATTTACAGTTGTAATATATTACATTGAACTAAATATTCTTATTCTGCAAAAGTTAATCTTAATCAACTAGAGTCTGCAGGACTCACTATTTTTCTTTCTAAAAACTCACTTTCTGCGGGGAGGATTTGGAGTGTTCATACTATTGTTTGTTAAAGAGTTGGAAGGTCTGAATAGATGTTTCTAGTGGTTAAAGCTCAGATTTGGACAGTGAATTGTATTTTTGTAGTTTCTTTTCAGGTAGTGTTACTAGGCTAATTTCATAAAGTGAAAAGAATCTTTTTTCTCATACTAATTTGTTATTTGTCTTTATTATGTCCACTTCAGGACCCCCCCAAAAAAAAAAATTGGATTTCCGTCTTTAGTGTAATGTTCAAGGTCGTTATAAAATGCTCTTTCTGTTATTGTACTATTAGCTCTGTTACCATGATCAAGTTCTCTGGTTTTATCATCGGAAAAGGTTCCTGATTAAGTGAAACGAAATACAATGGATATTTATTTGTTCCAAAAGTGTGTTTAATGAAGTTGCTTATTTACTTTTGTTCCTCCTTTGTCAGTTCGAAATTACATAGAGCAAGAGGACCCCATCATCTTGCAGTTACGTGTGGACATGATGCTGAAAGAGAACTGTGAGGAATATGCCCTGAACTTGTGTAACAGCTGCCTGATCCACCCGGAGCTTAAGACGGACCTGAACCTACGCAAGACACAGCTCTCCCTCCTCTACAAACTTGGACAGATGGACAGACTACAGGAAGAGGTAACCTTTTATTACACGCAATGCTTGTTGTTTTGTTTGTTTGTTTAATTGATTCCGTCCATTCGGCCGCTGACAGCGGCTCTGAGTTTTTCCGCTGCCTCCATTCGGCCGCTGTGAGCGGCTCAACGAAATCCGAAATAAAGGTGCACTTTTTAACACAGTTCCTACTTTTTAAGTTGTCGAAAGGAAGTAGAACTTGTAAACAAACCTGACCTCAATCTCTGAGCGCCAATATCGATCGAAACTCAGCGAAATTCTTGCAAAAATTGTTGTTTTGTTTTTTTGCGATGTAGGCTAGATCTAAGGGTAAACAACACGGAGCCTGGTATAATGAAAAGGCTCTTCAAAGAAAGATATTCAACTAAATTTGTGAAATTCTTGCATAAATGTGTGCTAGGGTGATATCGCTACAGTGTTGTGTTGATTCCTATGGATTGTAAGGACTTGTAGAGCTGAGAAAATGCGGTAAGTCGAAATTTTCGAAGAGCTGTTGCGCAATTTTTTTTCTCATTCGTTTTTGTCAGAAGGAAAATGCAATACAAACAGATTATAGGTCATTGTTATTGATAGAAACAGATTCTTCTATTTATTCCCATCAGTTTGGTGTATGACAATACATATTAGAGTAACTTAGAGCTTCACAGTAATGCATTAAATAGATGCACCCCAGGTCTAAAACTGAACAGGGAAAAATAATTCTGTCCAGAGCCTGAAAAAATCGTGGACGGAATCAGTTAAATTTTAAAAATTTAAAGCAAGTTTGATACCTGACTAGAAACAAGTGGGTAATTTTTTAGGCAGCGCTCTTTGCCTGGGTTAAGCAAGAAAGGAAAAAGAAAATTAGATACCTCGGTCACATTGCTGGGTCTAGGGCCAAATGTTAGAGCTACTGGGAACAAAAGTAATGTAGATGTGTAAATGAAAGTCGGTGTTGTGACAAAGGTTCATATAGATTCAGATAAGATCTAAACAAGATCTAAACAAACTTTGGCATAACAGGTTGCCTAATCACAGAATACTGCATTCAATTCCAATTACGCAGCCAAATAAAACTTTGATGACAGGTGAAGTGGGGAACTGCATAAGTTTTGTTCTGCTCAGAATGAGACAAGACGGCTTTTGTGATCCAGAGGCACAGTGTTCACTTCTCATTCAATAGGTACCGGGTTCAAAACTTGATGACTGGAAATTTTCTTCTTAAAAATGTTCTCCTTTCACCCCCTTTCCTGCTCTAACCATGTTCTGTCATCTGCTTTCGTCTCCACTTTCTGCAGCTTTTCTACTGCTACTCCTTGGTTCCTTCTTACTGCTGTCGGCTTCGGCCGCCACTTGGGCAAAATTCCAAATAATTTTTATGAAAAAGAAAGTGGTTAATATGTTGTCCTGCGCTCTCTTATGACCGTATGCAGGTGAAAGCGCTTGATTACATGAAATTGCCTTTTTTTTTTCAGAGCCAAAAATTGAGCATTCAGGATCAAGTGAAAATCATACAGCAGCTGCAAACCTCCAAAGCTCACAAGGAAATTTGCACAGTCCTGGCACAAACATTCATGGTGCAGAACTGGATAAAAGCTTCTGACCTGGAGGCAAATAAAGTAAGAAGTTTTAGTCTTTTTAAAATGGTGTAGAGAATTTAGTGGTTTCATGTTTATTGATTCTTTCAAATTAGAAGTGCTTTTAAAAACCTGGTGCATTCTGTGAAACACATGAAATAAAGTCAGAATTTTTAAAGGTATTTTTTAATGATGTAGATAATTAAGTGGCTTGATTCTTTTGACTATTTTAAACAAGAAGTGCTTTTAAACGCGGTGCATTCTGTGAAATACAGGGAAATTCTCATTTTTACACTTATATTTGTGCTCAGAAGTGGTCATTTTTTCCCCTTAATTTTTGTTCAGGAGCTGCTTCGTTTGTGGATCAGGCACCAGTCTGTAGTAGACCGAGAGAAGGATCAGTTCAGGGAGAGCGTTTGGGCAATGGCCAAGCTGTCTCAGTCCACTGAACAAATTGTTTTCTTCATCGACGTTTTGCGCCGAGAGGTAAGCGCTTACTGAATTGTAGCATTTTACTAAATGAGCTTTGTGTCATTTGCTATCTCTTTTTGTCTGTCTTTTTTTCCCCTTCACTGTTGTTTGGTGTTAGATATTTACCTATGTGCTTGTCCTTTAAATAAAAAGACAGCAGATTCTAAAGTCTACCCTCTGTAAATGAAGACTGCAAAGCAAAATTTATACTGATTTCAGCAACTTCGACTTTGAATTTTGGTCTGGTTATTTTTGGAAATGCTTTGGTTTTAATATTTACATCCCTTTCTTGGACAAAGAACAGTCTTTTTTATATTTTAAAAAAAAAAAAAAAAGATTAAAAAGTGTCTGATGCTTTATAGTATAAAATTAAATAACTTTGTATGGCGACAACCCCTGTTATTTATTATAGTTTTAGTGCGAGTTCGGGCACTGGCAACACACAATCAGGTCATAATAATGCCATTCCCTGGTATTGATTGGTAGAGGTTTTTAAGAAGTCCTCTCTGTTGTAGGATTCATAAGGAAATGCTGGAGAGAGTCAATAGCACAATTTGAAAAGCTCTACTAGTTATACTAGAGCGTATGAAATTGTATATGTTTAATGCTCTTTGCAACACTGTAAGGTTATTTAACACATTACACCCTAAGGGTCTGGATGGGAAGTCCATTCCTAGATCCTAAGCAAGAGGAAGGAACCCACTCCCTGTGAATACAATCGTTTAAAATACACATTTAAAAATACTAAACAAATTTCAAAAATCCTGAAAAAATAAAAGTTAAATAGAAAAATGAATGTAGTTTCAGAAAAATATAACTTTATGTATGCGCAAACTGTTAACAATGTTCTAACTTTAGTTCAATCGGGGTGTCCGACCCGTTACTCTCACTCTCAGCATCGTGGTCGGGCCCTTGATCTAAATTCTACATCTGATCAATCTGAATCGCCCCAAACTTTTTCTACAATGTTTTCATCAATATCTGATTCATCTGATTTGTCATATGCCTTTTTTTTGCTCAAATCCATCATTATTTCCTTTTTCAAACTCAGTTGTGTTGCTTTTCAACAAGTTGAGACACCTTCAGAGTGTCAGAAAAGTGATCGCACTTCGATCAGATCTAATACTAAAACTACTGGCCCGAAAAATGTCGTTTGAGTATCAAACGGAAGAAGAAACATTTTGTACTATGTAAATCAAAATCTCGGCCCCAGAGTCTCGTCAAGGTGAGACTTCATTTCTAAGGTTGCAAGGGTGGAGCGCGTAAGGAAATTCGCGGGCAATCTCGCACGAGTTAAGGTGTAATGTGTTAAGTGGCAGGACTCTGAATTTAATGTCTATCTTCGATAGGGCTAAGCCTTATGGGGAAATTCGGGTAAAGCACTTGTCCAAAGAACACGATGTTGGACGGAGCTGAATGTAAAATCTACTTGCAATCCTACAACTACAGGTGCGGTGGCCTAACCACTAGACCATAGATGCCACCACAGGGGGTAAGTACATTTACATTTTGTGAAAGACTCCTGAACGAGAAGAGTGTTTTCAAAGTTTTTTGTTTTGTTTTTTTCCTCTGCAGTGCGGCGATGTGTACTTACAGCTCTATGTGGACATGTGCATCTTTGCCATCAATGTTGACAAAGGCCAAATGGAGACCAATGTGAAAGAGGGGAACACGGAGGCTGCTCTGGCTCGTCGCTCTGACATGGCCTCCATTTGCTCCAAACTGGCCTGCCTGTGCCACCACGCCTCTGTCAAGATTGCTCGGATGTGTGCCCTCACTTCGTTTGCTCTCAAGCCCTCAGAGCAGGCTCTGAATGCCATCAGCTCGTTTTACGGCCAGGGATCTGATTGCTGCAACAATTGTCAGAAGGACAAGAACCGAGAGCCGGGGACAGTGAACCCAGCCACTCTGTATGAAGCAGAGCGTCTTCTCAACATGTTGCGACCCGAGTACCTCAACCCGGAAAACTCATATGTCAACGTAGAGCTTCTCTGTCGGCGGTTTCTTTACGACAGTCTTCGAAATGCTCATCAGCATCAGCGCAAGATGGCACAAGTGTCGCCAACGATTGTGTCGGGTTCCTCTCAAGTGGAAGGTCCTGGCAAAAAGAAAGACGCTGTGCCAGTGACGCGGATCAGCAATGTGTTCGATGCTCTGTCCCCACAGGACATGCACAGCGCTCAAATGTTGCTCAACAGAATGCGGCTGCAAAACGCTCAAAAGAAACCCACGCAGCACGCTCAAGGGTCTGCTAGTCGAGCCTTGCCTTCTGGTGCTTCCAAACCGACGATTCTTCATGGTAGTGGCTCGAGTGGTCAAAGTGCTCATCTTGTTTCCACTCAGCAGTCCAATCAGAACAAAGCCAACCTTTCAAGTGAGCATCGTCAGTACAACGTGAAATCCACCATAGATATTGAGAATAAAAACAGACTTGCTCAAAGTGCAGGTTTGATCCCGGTGCAACCAACTCGGCCTGTGGTATCTGCTTCTGCTGTTTCAGGCTCAGGGAAGTATTCTGCATCTCCCACAGCCCGGGTTACGCAAATCATCCAGTCTGCCATGAAACCAGACTCGGGCGTCACTCTTCAGAAACTGAGCCACCACACTAATCCTGAAGTTGTGAAGGCTGTGGTGAATATCATGAAGGGTTCCGCTGTCAGACAACAAGCCAGCATGCCGGCAAAACAGCAGCAAAGGCTTCCGCAGCAGCAGCAGCAACACCATGTTTACTCTCGTCAGCCACAGATGGGTAACCGAGCTCCTCTCCCCACTGTTTCTACTCTCCTCAAACCCAATGATCAACAACAGCACCGACAACAACACCGCCATCAGCAACAACAGTTAACACAACAATCACGAGTTCAAATTCAGACTTCTGTTTCGGCTAGGACAGGAAACCTTCCTGGCCAGCCAACAGCCCAGGGACAGCGGGCAAGTTCAGTTCAAGCAGGGCAGTCGAGCCAGGAAGCAGAGAAGATGAAACTTAACAAAGCTCATGTGGAAAGCATCCGCCGCTTCATGCAGATGTCTAACTTACCTCAGAGAGTCATCTCGGAGACGAAGCAGATGTCGGGCTCAACTGTTACAGTCTTGAGTAACAATTTTGTGCAGTCGCAGCATATGGGGGCCGGCCGACCAAAGACGACGGTGGAACTGGCTCAGGAGGCCTCTCTTGCCAACCTGAATCAAAAGAGGCTGCAGAAACACATGCAGTCCCAGCAAGGCTCCACCCAGCCAAAAGCGAACCCCGCCCTCTACCCTCAGCACGCTCAGGCGGTCACGAAGAATCAGCAGCAGCAGTTTCTCGCCGCTGTGAACAAACCTCGCTCAACCCCTGTCCATTCACAGCAGCAGCAGCTACAGCAATTACATCAACAGCAACAACAGCAGCAGCAGCAGCAGCAGCAATTCCATCTTGTACCTCAACAGCCACGACAGCAACCCCCCTCTCAGCAGCAGAGCAGTTTCTCAGCTAGTTCGGCCTCAAACAGCCTAACTGTGCCAGGAGCTTCATCTCACTCTCAAGGGGCAGCTGTGTTGACTGACGAACTTTCTGGGTCCATCACCGGGATTGATGACACGATCATTCGGGAACTGCTGCAGGACTCTGGCATATTGGCAGAGACTTTTGCAGACATAGCTGTGGATGTGAGTGAGGAGAAGCCTCAGGTTGAGGCCGGGCTTTCTAATTGGACAACACAAGTCGCCACAAATTCTCCAACACGCATCTATCGATACTCTGAGGTCCCTCAAAAGAGCACGATAGGAACGTCTGTTTATGTGTCTGAAAATCCGTTACAAAGTGTGTCAAATTCTCATTCTTCAAGTCAAAATCACAAATCTATGGTTTCCAGCAATAGCGGTCTGTACCAGCAAAGTAGAAACACGTCGGTGTATGGAACAGCTGCCTCTAACAAACATCAGCTCACTGCTAAATCAGGTTTGAACCAATTGCCTTCTTCTGCGGACAGAAGGCTAACAGCTGAGAACATGCCAGTCAGTAGTAGGTCACAAATATCAGTTCTTCCCAGCGCAGGCGTATCACGGACAAACTTACTTAAAAGTGCTGTACCTGCTAACCGGGAGAAAAAATCTGTGGATCAGTTGCGTGAAATGATGAAGGAGCAGGACATTCAGGGAGAGGTGTACATGGACGCTTCTAACAATGCCACTTACCGCTGTATCATTTGCAGCATGGCTTTCGAGAGTTTGGATGCCCTGAGAGAACACGTACGCAATGTTTGTAAGCCTGGACTGCAGTCGTCCAGCGTGTACAACAATAAGATCAAACAGGACAAAGCCAACTCGGCTAAGGCAGGGCTTGAGACGACCACTGTGTTTCAGTGCCTTCGCTGCTTCGAGTTGTGTGTCAGTGACGCTGGCATCAAGCAGCACCGCCTCACGTGCAAGAGGGTTCCCACTGTGCCTTCGGACTTGAAGAAAGAGGCCTCAAAACCCAAGCCGGTGAAAACTGCGCCCCCCAAACAGCCGCCACCTCCTTTGGAAGCTGCTAGTCCTGGACCTAGTGACAACTCGTACAAACTTCCACACATGCCATTACCGTTTCCATACCCGTCACTTACGGATGAGTCTGTACTCAAAAGCCTGACAGCTGCCACCAGTGATACTAGTTCTCCATCCCAAAGTCATTCCACTCCTAAAATGAAAGTTGAAAAATCCGACCCAGCTGTAAAAGTCACTCCTCTCAATGTACAAAATAAATCTATAGAGAACAAAGAAACTGTTAAACGGCCAGAGAAGAAAGAAGCTACTGCTTTACCCAGTCCTAGATATTCTGAAATGCTGGGCTCGGCAGGGAGTAAATTCTACAAGTGTGATGCCTGCCATCAGACCCTCTGCTCCATGGAAAGTTTTGTTGCTCATTGGAGAGAGTGTGCTGCGCAGCGGTCGTCAGTGAGTAAAAGTCAGAAAGATCCCAAGGCTGGGTTGTACATGCCTCGCTCTGTCTATGAAGAAATGTTGCGGAAGCAGGAAGCTGTCATTTCATCTGTGGCTCGGGGTGAAAGTGGTCATGTAAGCTTTGTTCCAGACTCAGTGACTCTTGATGCTGAAATTCTGTCCCTAAAAGATCCTTGTAAGGTATCTCGTGGTAGGAATTCTGTCGAAGAAAGGGCTAGCCGTAGGAATTCTGTCGAAGAAAGGGCTAGCCGTAGGAATTCTATTGAGGAGGCCACGAGTGAGAAGAGTCGATCTGTTGTCAGTGCAGAGTTTGGAAGTGGAGATTCGGAGGACAGTATGAAGAGTTGTACCCAGTCAGATGTTTCTCAAAATTTAGAAAAAATCAGGTCACACGAGAAGAAGGACTTATATAAGAACTCATCTCCTGCTTTGCTAGGTTCAGAAACGCAACAAGTGGTTAAGAGTCTTGCTAAAGAAATGACTGAATCCTTTGATGAGGCTTCTCCATCGACCGAGAAAGATGAAGAGGATTCAAATTCTCATAGTGATTCGGAACACGCAGCATTGCTTCCTTCTCGAAAAGCTCCTCCTAAACTGAGGGACAGAAAAACATTGAAACCCATTCAGAGCTTCATCAACGAAACATTTGTCTCCCCTTACGCCAAGATGGGCGTTAAGGCTGGAGATGGTGTTGAGAACAACCGAGAAAAGGGAGAGAAGAAAAATTTGCTCACCACCAGTGAAGAAGAGTCTGAAGAGGATGGTTTACACTGCAAGATTTGCAAAACATCCTTCAAGAGTGACAGAATCCTCATACAGCATTACGCTGGGAAACACTTGAAACCGTACACGGTGAAGACTGTTGCAGATAGCTCCTCTTACTTTTGTCATTTGTGTCAGAAAACTTTTTCCACTTTTATGCATTACATGCAACATGTGCCAAACCATTCCATCTCGATCTATGAGAAGATGAAAGCTGTAACAGCTGATAAGTTTCTCTCTCAGCGAAGTGAAAGAATCGCCTCGCAGCGTGGAATTGTGAAAAGCTGTGGGCGCAAAATGGGCCTCAGTCCGAAAGCGTTGAAGAGCAAAAAGCACGCTGCTAAGTCTGCAGTAGAAAGAATGAGAAAGCGCCTGATCACAGGCAGGAAGGCGAAAGAAAGACTGAACTTGTCAAGACAGAAACGGCACTCATCTCGGCCTACCTCCAGCGAGGACGACAATAGCTCTGATGCGTCCGGTATTAAATTGCGCCCCCCAATGACTGGTAAATTTGGCTTCTTGGCTACAACTGGAAGCCATCGCCAGGGAAAGAGCTTGAATGACGAGAACTACCTGAGAGGCCAGCAAGACGAGAGCTCTCTCCAGTCGTCAGCGGAGTATTCCTCAGAGGAAGTGGAGTCCAGATTTTTTAAGAAGCCCGCTCAAAGTGGTGATGAGGATTATGTGGTGAGTGACGGATATGACAGCGATAACTCTTCCCAAGGACCTCGTGAGACTAGAAGCAGGAAAAGGTATAGCCAGGGAGATCTTCCTGTTTCTAGATTTCCAAAAAGAAGTCGACTGTCATCAGTTTCAGGACTCTCCGGTGGTTCCACTGAAATATCGGATGAGCACAGTGATCACAATTGTCTCGAGTTGGTCAATGAAAATGAAACCAAGAGTCAGGGAGGAGGTGATGTCAGGTTTAGTTCTTTGGTTTTGTACAGACAGGAAAATGGTTGCTATAAGCCATCTCAAGAGCAGGATGGAGAAAGTGAAATTTCTGCTCCCTCTGAGGATCACTCTCATAAACTTCCGCCTAGTCCCCGATTAATAGTTAAATGTTTGAGTCAGCTGCAGAAAAAACAGTTGACGACTAGCAACCTCCAACCGACTGTTGCCTTACAATCTCTATCATCATCAGTGTTGATGAAGTTGAAACAAGAAATGCAGGGGGAGACTAATGCTCAATCCAGTTCTGCCTTGCCCTCTTATTCCTCCAGTGTTTCTAAGGTGCCTTCATTTTTGGACTCGTTTTTGTCCTTTATATCCTCAAATACAGACGATGGCACATCCCTGTGCCAAGGAGATGAGGTTGAAGGAAGCAGGGCAAGGCAGAAGAGCTGCAGTGGGCCGTTGTCAAAGAAAAGAAGGAACAGCGAGGGCAGAAGGAATAATTCTCACATGTCTGGTGAGAATAGTCCCTCTGTAAGGAGTTGTAGCGGCAGTGCTGATGGTGGCAGCCTCGACGGCGTCACTGCGGCGGACCAAGAAGCCAGCACTGTAAGCTATCGCTCAACACCGGACATTGATTCAGCCGATGTGGACGCCGGGGATACAGACGTTGGTCAGGCACTCACAGCTCACTTCTGTGCCCCTGACATAGTGTCCAAGTTTCACACTCGTCGTTGTAGCGTCAACCTAGGAGAGAAGCTGGACCTGGGTCAGCTGACCAAGGTTGCTCCCCATAGTGCTGAAGTGGTTACCCCCGAGCCCCCTGACATAGAGGTGTTAAAAGCTGTGGCCAGAGAAAACCCTCCGGTTGTGTGTTTAGAGCGAAATCTGTTTCTCGAAAAGTCTGTAAACCCTCAAAGCGATATGAAAGGTGAGGGGAGTGATTCACTAGAAAATGAAGTTTCTGTGGGAAAGGAAATTGACAAAGCAAAAGATAACAGAAGCTCTCTGTCGGAGGAAAAGTATGTTGATGAGAAATCTAGACGGGATGTGAATTCTGCTCGATACTTTTCCTCTGACACGGATACCATCTGTAGTGCGGGGGATTCCTCGGCCAATCAGTCACCAGATCAGCAGAACTCACAAGAGAATGACGACAAAGAGTGTATTGAGAAAGCAGTTGAGAACAGCAGTGCCAACATATTTTCTGCCATAGAGTCGATGGTTGCCGAGGTGCCAAGCATTTCAAAGCCTGCCTCTTTGCTGAAGGAAGAATCTCCCAGTGGTTCTGAGGGTATTGCTAATGTGGAACAGTTAGCTACGTTTACGGATGGATCTGAAAATAAGAATATTTTCAACGTGTTCACATCAATGTCTGAGAGTGTAGGAGGACAAGAAGGTCATGAGGTCATGGACCGATGTGAAGGTTCAGATGTAGATGGACAGAAGAGCCCAGTGTGTGATGTCTTGAATGTTGGCAAAAGTGAGGGGAGAGATGAGTCTACGGAAGGAGAAGGTGTAGACAAACATGAAGAAGGAAAAGGTTCCGAAGAGCATTATGTTGGTGAAAATGTTGGTGGAGAGAAGAGTTCGAAAGGTGATTGTTCAGTTCCTGAGGTTGCTGATGACAATGTACCCTCAAGTGAAGATGTCACACAAACTCAGTTTTCTGAGAGTGCTGAAGGAACGTTAGCTGAGAATAGGCTGTTGGAAGGGAGCAAAGAGTTGGGTACAGAAGCAGTGACAGAGAAAAAAGATGAAGCGTCTCATGTGTTAGAATCTTCAACTTGTGTATCTCATGCAAGTGTTGAGCAAACCTCAATTGTGATGTCTCACGATGATCCAGATGCCTGTATATCTCAAAGTACATCTGAGGATAGCAATGTTGAAACAAGGTTATTGACAACGGTAGTGAAAGAAAGTGACAGAGAGGAATGTGCAGGGCAGAAAACTGACACATGTGCAGGGCAGAAAACTGACCAGGCAGTTGAGTCCCCTGTGGCGGCTGGTGCCGACACTTATGACGAGACCACAGAGATGGGAGAGGTGGAAACTGGACAAGGAAATTCAGTATTTGAAAACAAAACTGTTGAACAGGGAGAAATGGACTCAAAAAGTCCCTTGTCCGCTATAGATCCAGGAAATAAAGAATTTCCAACTGATGAGGTCTCTGTCAGTAGTGCTCATAGTCAAGGTTTCCAGACAGGTGACAACCTATTGCCCGAAAGGACCAGTGTGAGTGAAGCTCAGGGTGCAGAGAGTGAGCAAGCAGTATGCAGCAAGGATTTAGATGAGATGGATCAGTCCACGTCCTATGGCCATGGATCAGATGCTGAGGAGGGAAGTTCATCGCATGTCAGCAGTTCCTGTGAGGCACAGATTGACACTGGCAAATCAGAGGTTTCCAAGGGAGACATGGAGACTGAGGACCAGGTCACAGACAAGGTTACTGAACAGGAGCTAGGTTCTGGTGAAATGGATGTGAGCAGTGCTGCTGCTTCTAGGGATCAGGACATAAATGGTAATGCTGCTGTTTCACTGACCCCAGCTTTGGTGGAAATGCAGCAAGAGCACAGTGATTGTCATGTATCAGAGGATGCCCAGATTTCCGATCGTTCTACAATTTTAGATGTCAAAGTCCAACAAGTTGAAGATCAAGCTCCCACCTCGCTTGATGTGTCATCCCCTTCTGGAAGTCCAGACTTGAGACCAAAGAAGGTTGTGGATGTCAGTAAGGCTTCTGAACAAAAGTTGAATGTGGAGTCGGAGAGAGTGAGGAATCCATCTGTGTCACTGGCTGCCTTTATTGCTGAGAGACTTTTGCCTGACCATAACTCTTCACATCTGCGGTCTGATGACAGACCACATGAAGCTTTGGAAAAGGAAGAGGAACTTTCAGAGGAGCTGGATGTGAAGCAGAAGGTAAAAGAGGTAACAGGGCTTGGTGTTGTGAGTAGGGAGCAGAGTGTTGGCGGTGAGGTGCTGGAGAGCCCAGTGAAGGCAGAGCAAAGTGAGCAGGTGCTGTCAGCTTTGGGACTTGTGGACTACAGCTCATCGGATGATGAGAGAGAAGAGAAGACTTCACCCAATGTGATGGCAAGTGATGAGACGAAATGCAACATTAAAGAGTCCTGTAATGAGGAGAAGAGAAGTGATGTGATAATGAGTGAAACGGAGGAGAAAACTGAGCGAAAAATGTATGATCATGAAGAGAAAGATGATATAGTTGCTCTTGTTGGTGATGTGATTAAACAGGATGAGAATAAGTTAGTTACTCCAAGTGTCAGTGATGGGCTTGTGTTCGAAAATAAAGAAGAGAAAAATGGTGTTAAAATAATTGAGAAAAGTGAGATAGAGATAATGTCTTGTGATAGGGAAAAAGTTGATGCAGTTACTCAAGGTGACACTGGTACAGGTAGTGAACAGTGCAACTTGTCGGAGAACGATAGCAGTAAACCTGGGAATGAAGCTCCTAAGCAGAAACAGCTACTCCTGAATGAGCCACCTAAGGCTGAACCAGGAGGAGGTGTTTCAGCAAAACCCATGTTTTCCATCAGCAAAATGCAGTACAGTCATAGTGTGTTCATCCCTTCTGAGAAAATGGATGTAAGACCAGCAGGACTTGGGGTGGAACAGACATACTTTGGGTATGAGCCAAGTGACAACAATGGACTGAGCGCTGGAAATGCTGGCTCATCCTTGCACCTTCCTGCTGCTGCTGCTTCAAATGCCCCTCTCCAGACATGTGAAGAAGGAGGCATTCATGTTGACAGTCATGTTTTGACTTCGCTTGTAAGAACTGGAGTCGTTGATGAGACAGAAGTGGATACGGATGGGATACATTGCGATGCTGATTTGAAATCTGGTAAAGATTACGTTATGTCAGACCCGGCTGTGAATGAGGGTTCTTCTGAGGAAGAAATTATAAGCAAAACAGAATGTGAGGCTGGCTCAGAATCTGCAGCAACATTGCATGCCTGTGAGGATAGCAAAGAAATTGTCAGCGATAGCCAGCCGGCAGACCAGTCCTCTGAGCTTGTTTCTCAGGATGATATGTGCACTGACACTGAAGCAAAAACAGAAACGGATATGGCAAATCCATGTTTGGTGGAAGTTGGGCAAGCGTCTGAGACGATCGATCCGCTCTCAAGTAATGAAGATGGAATGTGTGGAGATCCTGAGATGGATGAAGTGTCCCTTCTGTCACCGTTGACCTCACCGCAGGGTCTTGAGACTTTGGAACAAGCTTTGAATGAAGTGGATGTTAACAGACAGGCGGAGGGTAGCGCTGGTTGTGGGAGAGAGCTTAGTGAAGATGTAGATGAAGGTAGGGTTAGGCCTGCAGATAATGAGTTACAGCAAAACTCAGTATTACCCGGGACTCATCTAGCAAATGAAACATGCTTTGAAAATGTTGTAAATACCATCTCAACAGAACGAGATACAAATGAAGACAAGTTGAATCAAGGGGATTGTGAATTGTCATCTGCTCACAATGATTTGTTGGATACATCTGAAAACAAGAGTGTTCCGATAGACATTGCAGACACTTGTCATAGTAAACCTGCATCTCCGGAAAGTAGTAGTGGTAGTGACAGATTAGAAAATACCTTTGCAGAGTCTGCTGAGCCAGGGAAAGCTGTTGACATTCTAGGGAGTGGGGACTCGGTGATTGTAGAAAACTGGCAGCATACATCTCAGGGAGAGGAGTCTGTGGAGGATGAGGGTGCAGAAAATCTCATGGAAAGGTCAACTAAAACGTTTCAAGTAGAAAAGTCGGAGTCCAAGTCACAGGAAAAAGATGTGCAAACGTCTAACGAAGAAAGATCGGGGCACAGTCCTGATCCGGAAAAGTCTGTGTATGATGGAGCATTGGGAGAGCAGTGTGACAGGGTGGAGAGTGAGCAGACTGAAGATGGTGCTGATGAGGAAAAGGGAAAATGTACAAGTGCTGATGGAGTTGGTTCATTGGACATGGCAGCAACAGATGAGAATCCAGCAGGTAGCGAGCACCAAAATGCCCCGGATAGTGTAAGCAGTTCAGCCCCAGATCACGCCTCAGTTAAGGAAGACACATTGTCCACAGAAGATAAGAGTATAATTTGTGAAGAGCATCAAAAGGATGAGTCCGATAATTCAAAAACTGATCCCACAAACTCCTTGTCACAGGAGTCCCATGAAACAGTTGGAGTTGAGAAGGATTCAGAAAAGACGACAGACAACTCTCCTGGGTCTGATGGGGCTGTCTTGACCAACGCAAGAGACAAACGGGCAGGAGAGGAAGAGGATTTGGATGATTTTGACCTGGTCATAGAACAGGACACTTCCTCCCGGAATTGCGTTTCTTACATCTCAAAGCCATTCCGCTCGCACAAATCTGTGTTTTCATCCAGGTCAATGCCTGAAGAGTTGGCCTCCGGTGCTATGGTGATGGTTGCTAACTCAAATGAGGGAATTATTGAACCAAACTTGGAGTTTACGAAGGAGGGTCAGAGCAAGTTGAAGTCTATAGGGAGCAGCCATGTTGGATCAAGGCCCTTTGAATGGTCTGTCCGAGAGGAGGATGTAGGTTCGAGAATGCCTTTGCATGCTGGGAATCGAGTGCTTGCTGCTCCTAAACCTGGGCTGGGTACATCGGGTCTGGATGTGCTAGAGCGTAAGAGGAAAGCTCTGAGAGAGAAGGCAGAGAGAACGCCTTTCACCTGGGACTTGGAGGACAGTCCAGAGAAGGCTGTAAAACCTTTACAAGGCTCTCGCAAAGTGGTGGGCTTTCCGCTGGTGTCAGAGACCGAGTTGGGAGGAAAGAAAGCTCAGCGGCTCAAGGTGATGAACCAGGTTAACAAGAGACAAGCTAAAGAGCCTGCAGTGAAACGAAAGAGAGTTCAGTCGGCTGCGGTGCAAGGGCCCAAGCTAAAGAGGAGAATGTCTACCGAGGCAGTTCCTGTGAAGAGAACTCCCCTCTCTGTACCCAAACTTGTCAAGAGACCTTCTTCAACAGATTTGTCCACTGGTTCAGTAGGTGCTCCTGGCAGGAAGGATGCTCCTCTCTCTCGACGCTCTCCTGATGGGAGCCCAGATGTCAATGTTGGGAGCTTTGTCCTAATGAGTGAGGATCCGCTGCTAGCCTGTCCAGATGAGGGGAACAACTCCATCACGGTAGATGAGGAGATTTCTTTCAAACGTGACTCGTTGGCAATTCCCTTAGATGAAAACTGTCATGGTGATGTAGATTTCAGCCCGGCTGTGAAAAAGCGAGGGAGGCCTAAAAGGAAGTTAGTTGTAGAAAGTAAGTCGGATGCTGCGATGTTGCCATCAGATTCTCCTAAGGAGATACAGAAAGTTGTCAAAGTTCAGCCGGGCCTAAGGTCTGGTCACAGCTCTGTTGAGTCTAATAAGTCTGACAGGTCTGTGAAAAGAGCGGTGGATTCCCCGACTCCTGAACGGAAGAGAGTCAAGAAAGCCGAGGACACGCTTACGCCAAAATTGAAGAAAGCAGGGTTAATAAAGATCACGACAAAGACCTCCAACAGCGCTCCCACCACACCCTCTGTGTCTGACCTAAGTGCGCCGTTCACTCGCTCATCAGAAGCTGCCATCATTGCTTTCAACCGCAAAAGTCTGAGGAATCGTGGTGTAGATCCGGTAGATAAAAATTCACCTTCACAGCAGCATTCACTTGTGTCCCCCAGTGTCCGTTCTCCTCTCATCACTTCTGTTAAAACAAAAAACGATAGCACTCCAGTCAAACATCCGTCCCAGTCCGTGGCAAATAAGGCTCCCCACACCCCACAAAGAAATTCTGTCAGTGCCGTGAAAAGCAGTGGCTCCCGCTCTGAGCCTGTACCCCGGCCGTTCTCAAAATCTCAACCGTCCAGTCAACTGAACACCACAGCTGCTGTGGTACGCCGCAGAGCCCCCCCAATACCCAGCAAGACAGTCCCTCTCAAAGACAAGCCGGGCCCAGGGCGAAAGAGAAAGTCGGGCACCACGGCCACACACACCACCATCTATCGTGTAGACCCACTTCCCAACACGCCGGTTGCCAAGGGAGCCAAATCCCAAGCGACAACAGCGAACAAAGTGTCGGGAACAGTTCACACAGCTTTACCACCTGGCACGACCTCGGTCAAACCAAAACAGGTGACTTCCTCAAAAAAATGGCAGATTAAGAAAGAGACGAGGCCATCCACTAGCAAGACCAAACAGCAACGAGGCAACGTGACTCAAAAGAACATTGCCAGTTACAAACTCTGAAATAAGTGGACATGGCCAGTTACAAACTCTGAAATAAGTGTACATGGCCAGTAAACAAACTCTGAAATGGGTGTGGTTTGTTGTTATAGTTTACGCTAACTTTCCCGGAAACAGACGTTTAAAGTTCCTGTCAGAAACTAACCTGTGTTGATCATGTAAGTCCTTCTTCATGGTGCTGTATGTAATTGTCTGGGTCTGGTATAGTGTCTCTTTTCTATGGTCCTTATCTCCCCTCTTTCTTTTTTATGTTTGTTACTCTCCTGTAACACCTCTAATCTTCTGGCGCTCATGACCTTATGCAGTTGCGAGCGCCGTAAAACCTCTACTAAAACAAACAAGTGTCTCTTTAGCTAGAATGTTTCATATATCTGTGAGTTAAACGAAGTTGCCTGAGAATGGTAGGGAGGTTTGTCTTAGTATTGTCTTATTATTAGTGTCTTTTTTTTTCTGGCAATCTGTCGTGTTGGCGAATGACCTGTGTAATGTTTTGAATTTGAGTATCGCTTCTCCTTTAGGCTAGCTTTAAAATTGATGAGCAGAAAGCATCCGTTTTTTTTTCAAAGAAACTTTTTGAACTGTTTGAGTCCTTGATGTGTTTGCATTTTTATCCATTATTGTTTGGGAAAAGAAAGACAAGCCTGCCAGGTAACCTTTAAAAAATTGGATTTTCCAGTTTTGTAGCCTTTTAGGAATATCATGATTGGTTTTGCATAAAACCTGATGTTATTATTCTACTGTCAGGCCTTGTGATTGACCCCAGTGATATGGAAATGCTCACTGTTGTTATGCTCCACGAATAACGATCATTTTTCTGCAATTAATTTGATTGTCTTCAAGTCCTAAAATACCACTGCCGTGAACAATCTTTGAGTAATTGATGTTTTTGAGTAGCTACTCGGGTGACTTATAACTGTTCTTTGATGATGATTTCTTTAACTTTGCGATCGTGTAAACTTAGAGTAGATTTTTCTATGCGAGTCTCATTTTATACACTCACAATGTTCAGTTTCCTTAGAGTTGAATCCACTGGAATTTAGAGGGCTCCTTATTTTCTGCTTTAAACTATTTTTCCAGGGATGATTCTGGGGAATTCTCCTATTGTTGATCATCAAGGCTTTGCAGGTCTGGGTTGAGATGATAAAATATGTGTTGCATCCTAAAATCAGGTGGTCATAAAATAATAAAAGGGAAGAAATCAACATTTTTAAATCAAATTTGTTTTTTGGCTCAGTCTGTGTGAATTACTGAAGAACGTTGATGAAATTCACAAAAAATGTAAACTTGTAGTTTCCAAAGGAATCTACGGCTTTGGAAGTCAACTGGCTAATTTTGGCTCCGACGCCAGGACCCCCACCCTTCAATCACAAATATCTTGACTTCAATTCTAGATAGATGAGTATTTTTTTCATCAAATGCAAGGCAAATGAACAAGCTTAAAGATGGTACCAATAACCCCATGTGTCCAAAAATTGGATCGTGTCGTCATGACTCATAAGTCACAAAACAATTCTGTTCCCAATAAATGGATCAGAGAGAGGGGAAAGGGGGTGTCTTTCTTAAGTGTGAGAAAAAAATTATGTTATAATAATATATCGAAAGACAGAGCAGCTCTAATAATTTCTTAGCAGTGAACTTGCGTGGTTTGGGAGCAAAACAATAAATTTTGAATTTTATTTAGTATAAAATTTGTGGGTTTTTTTGGTAAAAGTGTGGGGTGTCTCTTGAGAAGGGGGATTTAAAAAAAGTTTATTCAGTTCCTAGTGATAATGAGTAGCTGTACTCGGGTATCAACGTACACTCACTTTCTTTATCCAAGTTAACAGCTCTTTGGTTCAGTTGCATCTGTTTAGTTTGAAGTATTGAGATTGACATGCTGTCTTGAGGGGGTAGAGGGAATTCCTCGGGGCTTGCTTTTGTTTTCATGACAAGACAAGAATACCTCTGGATTGACACCACACCACTGCTAGAGTTTTTGCTAAATGTTTGTTTTTACTTTTGGTGTTGCTGGTGTTACTTTGAGTTTTTGTTGTTTCTGTCAAATCTGGTAATTTGAATTGTATAGTTTTGAGTGAATACATGCAAAGCTTTGCACAAAGTATCCGTGTTATTTTTGTTCTTGCCAGTAGTTGTTTGCTCCCAAAATTCCAAATGTCCTTAGGTGATCAACCAGTAGGTTTTCTGGCTGGAACGTTTAAAATTAAAAACCCTGTACAACCATATTATTGTTCTATGACTGGTAATGTTCAGGGTTACTGTACTGTACCGTGCCATTGTTTTTAGGGTTGGGTCTTCTTTTTTTCTTTTTTAAGAAAAGGAGATGCTCTTGAACTTGGTGAATTGTTCTGGAGTTATGAGAAGAAAGGAACAGCAGAAAGATGGAAGCTCGATGTGTGTGTGTTTTTGGGTTTTTTTCTTTTCTCTCTCTCTCTCTCTCTCTCTCTCTCTCTCTCTCTCTCTCTCTCTCTCTCTCTCTCTCTCTCTCTCTCTCAGAATTCAGTCTTATCATTGGTGCAAGACGCGTCTATCACTAACAACACACTGCCAATTACATTGTTCTGTTACCGCTCCATTTGATGAAGGCCACCTCAGTGTTTCAATCGAATGTTGTTTCTGTTATCACAATGTTTTATTGTTGTCGTGTAAATAAATAAATAAAACTTTGAATGATGCTCAGTTTATTTGTAAGATGAGAAAATTTATCACAGTCCAAAGTGGGCTTGCATATTTTTATTTGATGTAATTATAATAAATCTTTTGTTACTGTGATTGGCATGTTATTATTGTGGATTGCTTTGTGTCTGGATGGTGGGTGCTCTGGTGTGATTTATTCCTTCTTTCCTATCAAAGATCTATCATCTTTATCTCTCCTCTTTTTTTTTTTTTTGTATGTCGCTTACCTCTAATCTTCGTCACTTATATGACCTATTTGTGCTGCAAGTGCTGTAAAACTTTCTGAAACTTGAAACTAAAACTGGTTTGCAGGTGCTTTGGTGTGATTTATTCCTTCTTTCCTATCAAATGTCTATCATCTGTATCTCTCCTCCTCTTTTTTTTGGGCATGTTACTCTATAGTAACACCTGTAATCTTCGGCATTTATATGACCTAGTTGTGTTGCAAGTGCCGTAAAACTTACCAGAACTTAATTAAATGTCTGGATGGACTGACTTGCTTTTCCACTTTCAATGTTTCCTCACTGGTCATCAAGTAGATTGTTGTGAAAGTTTTGTGTAGTATGTTTAAAGTAAAGCTTGATGAAAAGAAGTTGCTCAACAGATGTCTTCGGTTTGATTGATTTGCCATATATATATATAAATGGATCATGTGTGAGTGTTGGTGTACATACTGAGCAAATGAGTAATGCAGGAGAGAGAGTCTGCTGTGTGTACAAATAGTAGTAGAGGACATTTGTTCAAGACATCTGGGAGGAATGCATGTTCAACTTTTTATCTGTGACCATACACGTGGATCCATATTGTCAGCAGAGTAGTATTATTAGTGCTTTAAGTAGTTGTACGTGTATGCTTGCTGGCTTGCCCATTGTCTCTGGAATATGAACTGGTGCTTCTACTTCTAGTTATGTGAAATGTGTGTAATTTGAATCTTTTTGTGTAAGATATAAACATGGTATTGGATGTGTTTCATATGTTTGTGTAAAATAATGGATAATGTTCAAATCCGTTTGTGTGAAGAAATATATGGTTGTATATATGCCTACATGAATGGTTGCATGGTATGGTGGTAGCCAAAATGTGAAAGCTGAATTTTCAGTGTGCTGGAAATTTTATATAAATAACCAAATCAAATTTTTTATCATGAAATTTCTTGCTTGTACTCCAATTTCTTCTGATATGTCAGCAGTGGCATATTAAAACATTTTAAAAAGCATTAAAAAAAAAAGAATTGGTATTATACATGAAACAAAAGCTTGGACTTCGTGTTGTTTTTTTTATTTACTCAGTTTTACTTTTTTGTTTTCTGTAGCCTTAATTCTTTGACTGTATACTGTATGTTATTACGGTATGAACCATCTGGGTGAGGTGTAGTCACGTAGTGACACAGATCCTTTCTCTCAATGATCGTCTGTGGATGAACAGCTAATGCTGAGCTGCTCAGTTGAGTATTTATCAACGATTTATATTAAATTATATGTACTCAACCAAACTGTCTTTGATGAAATCCAGGATGATGCGTGACTTCTTGAACACCCTGTCTATCATATCTGTCCCAGCGGTTTTACGCCCCCCAAAAATTCTGAATTTATGGGCACTGGGCCCAAAAATGTGAAATTATGCGATTGTTAATTTTATCAAAGAATGATAAAGGAAAATAATCAGAAATTATGCAAAATATGATCAAATTTTGCTAAATTATGTGGGATGCATAAAACCACGGGGACAGTCATATGTATCTGTTAATGTTAATGATAAAGTGCCCTCCAGGCTGTGATGCTCCCCACCCCCAACCATGAACTTTGTAAATTTAATGTTCTGATGGGCCATAAGAAGTTTTTGAAACCAATTATGGGGGCTCTCGTGGTCGGGAGGTATGGTGTTCGCCTCTCAATAGCTCTCAGGTTCGAAACCTGACAGCGACCCCAAAAAAATGTTCTTTTCTAAAATTTTCTCCTATCACCTTCCATGTTCTCTGGTCATGTTCTGTCATCCGCTTTCATCTCCACTTTCTGTCCCCCATCTTCTGGGCTTCTCTCTCCTTTACTCCTGACTCCTTACTGCTGTCTTTCACTATGTACTTTCAGCAACACACCTGATCTTATTCTTAGGTTAGGTAAGATCTAACACCCAGCCCTCTCGAATAAGGGTGAAAAACCTCGAGGTCCCATGTGCAAGTTGCGCACCTTAACCCTATCCGTACGCCCTGGGGTCATTTTGTACCCCGGGGTTGTATTCTTCACATTTTAGAATACTTATACTTATACTTCTAGTATGAAGATCTCTTTGAAACTTTCAGTATTTCTCAAAAAATCATTTTGACAGACTGCTCTGCAAAGCGTACGGATCGGATTAACGAGTAAATTTCCTCTTTGGAAAGTGGTGGCACAGAGTTCCCCACGTCGTATGGATATGATAGTAAAACACGACGTATGGATAGGGTTAAACATTCCTTGGTGGTCCTAAAATCAATAAGAGTAGGCTTCGGTTGCCTCAAAGACAATATAAAAAATGTTTGTTACTCTCTTGTAACACCTCTAATCTTCTGGCGCTCATATGACCTTAAGCAGTTGCGAGCATGTATGTATGTAGTATAGGGTTTTACGGTGCTCGCGACTGCTAAGGTCATATGAGCGTGCACTGCGCCGTAAAACCTCGATTTAAAAAAAAAAAAATCCTTCCAAAATGATAATACTATTGTCAGTATAAAAACATAGAATACTTTCGAAATCGGAAAGTGGCTGCCTGAAAGCAAGGGGCCCTATTAAGAAGGAAAAATGGTCACATATTAATATCTCAAAATCAGTTACACAGCAGGGGAACAAAGAAGAAGAAGATCATGAAGTAATATGAGCCATTGAGCCTTCCATTTGTAGAGATACCTTTCTAAGAAGGAAAAGTTTCAATAGGTGCTTTATTTGAGTGTTAAAAGTTAAAGTTGAAAAGAGGACTATCTTTTTCTCTTCTCGTGTCATACCCCTGCTTGAGCTCAGGAGTTAACTGACAGTAATCTCTTCGGCTTTCAAAGTGTTGTTGATTTTCTGTACACATGCATGGCCGTTTTATCTACATTGAACATAGACTCATCCCTTGCCTGACTGACAGGCAGCCACATACCTGTCCCCGTCGTTTTATGCACGAAAAAATCTGAAATTATGCAAACTGAGCCCAAAAATCTGAAATTGTGCGATTCTGTTAATTTTAACAAAGAATGATAAAGGAAAATAATCAGAAATTATGCAAAAAATGATCAAATTTTACTAAATTATGCGGGGTACATAAAACCACGGGGACAGATGTACGGTTTTGGAAGGCAGGCATACTCTATTTATTCTGAGTTTGGTAGGAATTAATTTTGAAATTTGCTATTATACTGGTACGTACATAAACCTGTAGCTTTTTTGGCAGCTTAAGTGTTGCAGATGTGGTCTCTGATCAGACTTGAGTCACGGGGGACAAAGTTGCACTTTTTAATTTTAATAAGAATTTTACGACACTTGTTGCACAATTGGGTAATAGAAATGCCAAAGACAAGAAGTGTTACAAGAGAGTAACAAATACACATGATACAAAAAAAAAGAGGGAGAGAGATGATGATGGATGTTTGATAGGAAAGATCGAAGGAGTAAATCACACCAGAGTACCCGCCAACCTCCCACAGATTAAAGGTATTCCGGGTCCGAAATCTGGTTGACATTGAATCGGATATTTTGCTTTTGATTCATCTGCCTGAGTTGAAAGGAGCTTTTTAAAAAAATCTTTAATGTAGGTGTTTTTATGGCCCTATCCACACAATTTTAAGGAGATGGGTTTTGACCCTGCTTGTCGGTGCCAATCTGAGCTGAGAGGGATACTACATTCCAGCAAAAAGACTGAGCGACTATAAAAATTCTCTCACAGGAATCAATTTCCGATTTTGTGAGTGCGACAGTGAAGCACATAACCGCAACACCAAAGACACCTGTGGTTAGAATTAAAATTCAACTTAAGTTGGTTCATTAGTTTGATACTTGAAGATGAAGAGCCTTGGTTCATTAGTAGTATGATATAAAATAAAGAGTCTAGGGTATATGTACTCTAACAAAAAGTATATTCACGGCCATACCGGTACTCTAATCTTACTTGCTGTTTATGAGCATGCATAATTATTGAAACTTCTTGCAGTATGTGCACATGTCATCATGCTCATTTGATAATTGCTTAAGTCATTTTTTGGCGTTTGGAGAAAATAAAAACTGTTGCACTTACAAAATAGTTTTTTCTAAATATTTTTTTTTCTTTAATTAAAATGATAAATTCTCCAAAGGACCTTCTCAAAAATCTGGGGAACTAATCAAATTATCCAGCTGTGGCCATAGCTCAGTTTGCCCCCCCAAAATGAGTTAGACAATTAAATTGAATGAGCGTGACAATGTATCAA